CTGCCTCTCCTGCAAGGGGGGGAAATTTCTTCAACCCTACTTTTCTGCTAAACTAAATAAATCTCCTTGTCCCCCTTAATGGAGAAAATATTCTAACATTTAAGTAAAAAAACCCCAAAATTAAAGATTTAATGACTATTAAAATCAGACTATCTCCTCCCACTTCCCACAGCCTTCTATTAACCACACTTTATAATAAAAGATAAAAGCATTTGAGCATTTGGCAATTCCCTGTATGCATTTCTGGGAAGGGGGCCATGTAAATGAGCAGCCACCTGATTAGTAACAGGAAGCAAACAATAGTCTACTATCACCAAAGATTAACATACTGTCACATCAAGTCTGCTCTACACACATCCCTTCTTGGGTAAGGTGAGCAACTGTTGCTAGACAACATACAGCTGTCTCTGCACACTGTTATTAATTGCCAGTGGTTGTAGTTTTAAGAGTTGCCCATAAAAATGTATGAGTGTCCAGCACAGTGACTCAGTTGCCTTTGGACTTTCACAACTGAGAATCGTAGCTGGAAATGGGAGATTCATACTGACAGAGAACATGCAGCTACACTGAGGTTACGCTTCTCCTTCAGCAATTACCTTTTTTTATGGGTTTTTAAAATGCATGGTGTGTATTCAGTGAAGACCATCCAGTCTGGTAGTTATCAGTTTATCAAGCCTGTACACCAAAGCTTTTGTTCACCTCTCCCAAAAGCACTGAACAGTCTAGAAACTTCCCTCACTTACATGGCAATTAGACAGCAACCTGTACACAGCAGATTGGGTGTTGCACTGGAATGTTTAGCTTTTGTCAAATGGTAGAATAACACTGACACCTCTTTACTGGCTGAAAGTAGTATTTACTACTCAGGATTAACCCTCTGCTTCCCCCCAGCCTTGGTTACTCGTAATAGATACAGCTCAGACCAAAGCAAGTATTGTCCCTTCTTTGAGTGGAAACGCAAACAAATTTAAGTATTTTGAAGTCATGAGCTTGCCACCACTGCCAATCCTGCCCAAACCCCATTTATTCTGTAAGTAGGGCTTACAATTTTTGGACTGATCTGGAGACTCTGCACAGGTAGAGCTGTACATGTTCTACTTTTCCTCCTTACCACCCTCAAGCTATCACAGCTGAAACCTACAGCGTCACAAAATGGCAGGTTGCACACTTTTAGTACTGTTCCATGATTTCTGTTGCAATCTAAAACCCCACACTTAGAAAGAAATGGAGATGGGACTTTACCCACTGGCTGCAAACCTGGCTAGCTTCCTCCAGTCCTCAGACAGGGAAGGTGTTAAGTACTGACAAAGTACCCACACAACGACTAGCTGGAGCCATTTGAAGACACAGTGTTCAAAAGCCTGGCTCATCAAACAAAGTGAGTATTTAAGTGAGTTTCTGAACAAAATCTGCAGCATTATATTAAATCAGTATACTTTCACCAGAACACAATCTCTTTCCACCCATCATGATGCTCTCTTTATGGCACGTGTGGCTCTTCAATCAAGCTATGTTACTAGGAAAGGGTTAAAACGGAAAGAAAATAGATGTGATAAACCTGAAGCAGTGCATGGCTGGGGGCTCTACTGTTGTGTTATGCAGCTTGGCATGTATGTGTGAAATAAGGAATGCTGGGCAGTAATCTCTCTGCTGGTCAACAGGCAGGCTGGTAGGGATTTACCTCCCTCCCAGACACCTGTCAGCACCTACCACCTATCTACAACTAAGTCCTCTGACCAGGAACTCACTGGGAGTGTCCACTGCCTACTTCTGACCCAAGGGAAAATCTACACCAGAGATGGCTGGCAGGCAAGACCACAAGGCAATGCTAACTGCTAGCAAACTCTCTCCACTTGGCTTACTGCGAGAATTGGCACTTGCTGTTCATCCAGGCTCTCGTGCAAATTGTCTCTGAAACTGGAGGAGTTGGGATCAATTATAAATGCAAATTAAACACACACACTGCACACACGCATGAATCTATCTCCCTGTTCCATTTATATAATGTTACCTCCTCCGGCAGTGGGGAAAACGGCGCCAGATCGGTCCACTGAACTGACCACCCTGGAGGCCAGAGGACTGCCAAACATGACAGCTGGGAAGAGGAGGGAAGAAGAAACGAGAAAGAGACTATTTGTCTCCACAGCACCAGCCTGCCACTACACTGAAGGTCAAACCAGAGCCGTGAACTACTAAACAAACTGGAGCCCCTTACAACAGCCTCCTTTATTTACTATGCTTATTTGCTTAGCACTTTTTGTTTCCATCACCAGTGTGAAATACAGGTTATCTCTTCCTTCCTCTAGGAGACAACAGGTTTGAGTTTCCAAAAGAAACACTCCAGCCCATACACTAAGAAACAAACACCCTACCAAAACCCCACAACCCATAAAAAAACAAAATAGTAACTTAAATATAATGCACAGTTCAAACACCACAGGAAACCTGGTACTCAAAACTCAGTGTATTACATAGACCAAGTTCCAAATACATATACCTCACTAAGTGCACCAATCCCTAAAATAATTTCGCTGCATATACCACTAGCTACATACCACAGTATTTTGAGAAGACAAATAAATACTCATTTTGCGGAGGGGAAAAAACTGCACAAAGTACATGCTGAAGCTACAGTGTTTAAATGTGTATTTTAGTATGAGTGCCATCAGTTGTACACACAGCTGAACAGACAATTGAAAAGTTTTATTTTGAGGAAGCCCAGGGGAAGACAAGGAGGGCACAATTTCTCAAAACTTGATGAGCTGAGGCAGTGAACCCATACATACCATTTCTATCCCATCCCCCCTCCTCCTCCTCCTGCATATCCTTTGTCCACTCAATATTCCTGCCACAACTCTTTGTGGTGGTGCAGATGACCTGCATCAAGGAAACACTACATATTCAGCTAAACAAAACAAAAAACCTAAAAGGAAACAAGAGTAAGACATCAAGACACTCAACATGCTGCAGTACAGCTTAAGAGAAGGAGCCCAGAAGAGGTCTGTCTGCAAAGAGGAAGCCGGGGGAGGAAAAATGTACATAAAAGTCTGCATTGGGTTGGGTGTAAATGGAAACAAAACGGGAACATTCTCCTTCACAGCAACTGCAGCAAAGAATGTAGTATTGTTTCAACAGTTCACAATGCATGAAGAAGAACTGAAACGATGCCCTGTCCTCCTCAAAAGCCAGAAAGATGTTTTTCATATTAGCTTCTGTTTGGGGTGGGGGGGTGTGTGTGTGTGTTTTGTTTTTAACTCGAAAAGTACTAAAAGCACCAAATTCCCTATTATTAGGCCTGAACCACCCAGATGCTTCTCCAGTGTCTAAATTCCCACAGGCAAAAACTAGCAAATATTCCTCAAAAAAAATTCCACCCACAATACTCAAATGCAGTTTCTTGGGACCGGTGATGTAGCAATCCCACTCGCTTCTGAAGCTGGATCGTGCAGGGCACAAGAAGCAGCGACAGCATAAGGGACAAGACCTCCTGCCCCTTGCCAGCCCCAAGAGAGGAAGGGGATGTCCCCTCAGTTGCACTGGCAGCTGCTCCTGCAGCCATCTGTGAACAAGAGACAAAAACTCACACAGGTTAAAAACAAAGAACCCTGGCAAAAAGCTTCAATTCATCTTCCTCTCGCTATTATTTCTAATTCAGCTCCTCCAACCTACTTGTGGTGGGACCCTGCAAATAGTTGTGTCAGCATGGGTGAGGAATGAGGGGACAAAGCAAGTGCAGAGGGCAGCAAAAATTCCTTAAGATGATGTGCAAGCAGCAGTGGCAATGCCATGAAACGATGACCACCGTCTCCCAGGACCTCTCCCAGGACATCTACAGTGGACATCACCTAAATTTCTAAGCAGGAATAATAATTTTCAATCCTCCATTGTATCTGAAAGCCAAAAATAAACACACACTTTTCCTCTGACCTGCAGTGGGATGGAATAAGCCTTACAAAGTTTCTACCAGTATGGAAGACAGCACAGATTTTATTCTGATACACCGGAGCAGCTAAGTGGGCATATTAACTAGACTTTGAGTTTGTTGCTCAGGGGCATCGAAAAGGTTGTGGGGACCAGGGGTGAGGGACATGAGAACAGGAACAGGGGGCTGTCCAGGAAAGCACCACTCTCCTCACCCTATCTGGCGTCTCAGGGGAATCGTAAGGTCGCACAGAAAACAGCAACACTTCTTTTGTTTCAAAGAGAATTTTATTTTACGGTTCATTTTGGCTTGGGACTAGGATGCGAGAAGCATAGAAGAAAAAGGTTGAGAAAGCATTTTCTGCTTCTCTCTCTTAAATGCCATTTTCAGATAGCTTGTTTTGTTTCTTACTTCATACAGAGGACAACTCTCAGTCTCCTGCATTCTCAGCATATTTTCTATAATAGATTGGCCTGAGTCCTATGATTTCAACCCACATTTTGCACATTCAGGGTAAGAACTCATAAGAGTTCAACAAGGACCTCATAACTGACTTCTAGGAAAGAGGAGGCAGTTTGCTACAGCAGCATCTTGAAGTAGTCCTTTGTAACCAATACCAACCACATTGCCTTGTTATACAGTTTCTCTTCTCGGAAGTATCTCGTTTATTTTTTTTTTTTTTAACATTCACAGAAAATTAAAAATAACAACAGAAACGCTAACTACTTTAGTGATGCTTTCCTTGAAATTACACACACATATCTATTGACGTGTCCCTGAGAGGCCAAAGGAGGGCAGGAGGGGAGAGAGTCTTAAGGCATTTAATTTAGCAATCACCTACTGCAAAACAACAACTGTTCTTCCATGCTTTCCAAAACAACAAGAACCACCACCTATACCGATGGATGAAGCAAAATTTACCATATCCTCACTGTTACTAGAAGGACTCCACACTGTAAAGCCTGTTTACGGCAGGGCAGGATGTGCAACCGTACCTTACTGATAACACAATCACAACCCTGTAGCACAAAAGGGACAAAGCAGAAAGGCTATACTTTAATCGGAACGCACTACTGACCTTTTCCTCGAGGGCCCTTCTTCAAAATCTGAAGAACTAACATCGTTGCTCGTTGAGGACACTTGCGAAGCATCGTCCTTCTCATTCTCCAGCTGTTCTGATCCCGGTTCTAATCCTTTAGATTGGCCATTAGTGAGAAGTCCTGCAAACGTGACAAAGTAGTACACAATATTCAAAACCTGCATTACCAGTGCCAAATGGGTTTTACAAAAATTCACATGTGACACTAACAATAGAGAGCTGATGCTCAAAGCAATCATCTTGCAAAGAGATATACTGATAACACTGATTTTGCACAGAGGTACTCCAATAAAAACCTGCCTGATTGTGTGTTTCTTATTTGGTTAACTATAAGGCCCAAATCCCAAGTAACCACACCATGGGTTTTTGCAACAGTATTTCTAATCTCGTTGCACCCCTCATTCCAAAAGAGACATAGCTTAGTCAAAACTGGTTTACAGAACTCTTGTTGACTGGCATAGACAAGAGTCTTTTCTGTAGATCAATATAAAATTCAGCTGCCATTTGGTCCAATTTATTGTCATCTGTCTTCATTCTGCTGCTTCCAACTACTGCAGTTTATGATCCTTTAAAAAAAAAATAAAATCCTGAATTCCAAAGAGGTGAATATCAAACGTCTGTTTCTTGACTCTGATTCTTCTGGCCAAGTGTCACTCATCTACAGAAACTCCAGCCTGCCAGCAAAGGTAGGCAGGGCAGGGGAAACATCTGCCAGAGCTGAACCTTCCCTTTTGTGCCTTTTCTCTCCTGGAGGAATACTACAGCAGGCAAAGTCACATAGACAGAAGAAAGCACTGGGCCATATACAAGCATAAAGCTTTACAAATTCTGTGTATTCTACTCAAACAAGTAACTACAACATAATATGACACAAACAACAGCAGATAGACTGTGAAACCACTTATACTTAAGGAAGAATTAAAATACTAACATGTTCTTCAGTGAGAGGGAGGAAAATTACCAACAATTTTATCAGCTCAATATTTCCTCAGTGTTTTAAGAGCTTATTTCCAAAGAAGCTGCAATTTTATCCAGGGGAATGCTTTCTCGTCTCTCCACCAAAATACTTTTGCAACTGGCATAACAAAGCTTTGCTTCACAGCTTTATTTCCTCAGAGAAATGCTGGTAGGACCTCCCTCCCTTGGTCATTTCAGTCCCCCTTTCTATAATTGCACTTTAGAAAAGAAAATAGGGAGGGGGCCAACCCCTTCCAAGATAAGCCACACAGCAAGGCTTAAGAGCACTAAACCAAAAAAATGCTTACTAATAGCGTTTCAAAACTTTCCACCAGTGCTGCCATCAGCACTACACCATTTCAGACCTCTGTTTTCAGGAAAACCACCGTTTGGGACTATCAATGCACTTACTCATCGCACAACTGAGCATTCAACCAAGCTCAGCTCCGAAAAGACACCAAAGCATAACCAGATCAAGAGCAAGGCATCTCCTCCGCAAGCTGCCTGCTGGAAGTACTGGTGCCGTGGCCAAACATTCCCTCTCTGCAAAGCCATTCATTCACTGCTCGCTTGGGCACCACGACTGAGTGGGATGTATCGTCTGCCAGTGGGCTCTCCAACCTTTCAACGCTTCCGATTCCAGTCTAACCACTCTGATTGCCCATTTCTAAACAGCCTAATCCGAAGTCTGCATCATATTGCTCTCTTCTTTTTCCAGTCATGGTTTGCTCTTATTCACTCTGAACTACACCATATTTCTCTTGACTTGGAGTCAGAAGTGGCTACACGATGGTCACATGCTGCAGGTTTTGTACACTGTTTTTAAAATACTACCTACAAAGCAGAAGCCTGGAAATTTTTTGTGGGGAAGATGCAGTGAACTGGTAGCTCAATTTTTTTTCTTCCTAATATGGAGCTCACAAAGCAAAAGTTGAAACTAAGCACCGATTTTTGCCTTAAAATGTCTCTTCTAGCCCGCCTGAGGCTGGCATGGAGAAGTTAAATGACCCAATTTACATTTTCACTCCCCTTTTGTTAAATTCCTTTTGATACTTCCTTTCCATTAAAGGGATCTCAAACTGTGACCCAACAAATAATACAAATTTCAGCATCAGCACATGATACTACAACAGGGTTTGTAATGTAACACAATGATACGACATGGGGTGACAGCACGCCTTCAAAGCACTCCCGAGGAAATGAAGGCGACCTTTTAGAAAACATTAAATACATTATATTTCTATGCTGAATCCATCCTCGCTAGGAGGCCCAGTGCACAAGTTTATTCTTAAAAAAGTTTCAACTTTTGCTTTGCATTTTTCCATGAAAACACTGCTGATAAAATTTACACTTTTTAAACTCCAGAGAAGCCTAAATCAAGCGTATCATTTGAGGTCTGATACCCAGTAACTTAACTCTTATGGCAGAATTTGATCAGGTTTTCCAAAAGCAATATTTGCTCTGGGGACTTGCCATACGTAAAACCCAGCAACTTGAAGTATATGAGGCAAGAAAATCACCTTTCCAGCTGTCAACTTGCACGCACTTGGAAGGCAATTTTTATTTATCCTTCCACCCTGCCAAACCATCAGTGCACTTAGGAGACAAGCATGATTTGTGTCCCTTAAAGAAAAATAGCTGTTTGTCTACTATTATTCATCATAACCAGCGCCATCCCAAAACGCAGTAATATTGCTGGTAACTGAAGTTAGCCATTGCCAGTTGAAACCAATTAAAACAAGTGCCCTAAAACGGAGGCATAAAACTACAAATGAGAGATACTGATAAATAATGGCAACGGGTGTCATGTTCTACGGGTTTTCCAGGCCAGCACAATTGCAAAATCCACTCCGAAGTGATGAAAGGCAGAGACAGTCTCAGTCCGCAGCCTCCTTCCACGCACTGGAGAGAAAGCACATGCTGAAGCAGACTGCTATAAAGTTTATTGCCACTCAATCATTTTTATACCAAATGCATTGGGTTTGCCCCCAGATACCTTTTCCTTCAAATGCCATTCCTACTATCTCCAACCGTGATAAACCACGTTCTTTTCTGCTGCACACTGGTCGGGAGCTATGAAGAGTCTGGAGGTCACAGGATGAGGTGGGGACCCCGCGGTTGTGCCCAGTGACACTTGGGCACCCCCATCACCATTAATGAGTTGGCAAGTTGGCACCGGTGCAGCTGATGGGATGTACACTGCAGAAACATTGTCCAGCATACGTCACAGAATCACAGAACGTTAGGGATTGGAAGGGACGTCCATCCACACGGGTTTGACTCTCCAAAGCCAACGCAGCTACAGGAAGCAGCAAGCATTTGTGTTTCTCAAAAGCTAAGTACTACAATTGTGTACGTGTGAAAAGAGGGAAAAGCAACCGAGCAAGTAAATATTCTTTTGCATAGTCTGAAGAGCTGAACCACCCTCTAATCCTGGTTACTTCGGAGCACCCAGCAACAGTCAAGGAACGAGCAAACCATCGAGAGCTAAATAAAGTCAAAGGGACAAAGAGTTCTTCCACTGCTTTTCCACGGCTGTGCCCTTCAACCTCTAAATCACGATGCCAGCAAGCCCTGTCTCATGGCAAAGCCTGTGACCGGTTATGTTCTCAGCTGCTGGAGAGCTGGCAGTGGCTGCCTGCCTCTTGCCCACTGGGCTCATCTCTGTCCCAGCTCTCGCTGTCTTCTCCCCTGGCAGCTGGACTCATGACCAACCACAAGGCCTGAATAACCAGGCAGAATAAATCAGGGTTGATAAAAATAGACTTTATTCCTGTAATATAAAGTTTGTTTTAAAAGTCAAATTAGATTTTTTAGTATTGTAAAAAACCTAAACCTCATCAAAATTAAATTTGAAAGCACAGCAACTTGGATTATAAATCAGTGTAGGATTTCATATATTAAAATTACTTACATGAAATAGTAATTTATATATAGAGTGAAGCAGTGCATATTTGCTGCCAAGGTTAAAGAGAACTGAAACACTGAACAGCTCAAAGTCACTGAATAAACATCGCCTTAACTAAGTCACTAATAATGAATTATTTAATTAAATCAGAAATACAGGAACTTGCATATAAAATTACATCGACGGTCCCTTAAATAAACTGCCCTGGCTCTACACTGATCAAGACCAGATACTTTAAGAGAAAGGCCAATTACTAATCCCTGCTCATTAAAACTGAACCATGGAGATCTTAGCATCGTTTTTAAAACGTATCTTAGCCACATAAATGTCAACTTCACAGTTTTGCTGAATTTTTTTCAACTTCTGCGTAAGTTGCAATAGTTACATGCTGCTTAAAAAGACTAAAAAAAAAAAAAAAAGTCACTTATCCACTTCTCAGTTTCTAACTGCATTGAGAAAAAGTAGCAAATGCAAATATTACGTCCCCTCTGTTACAAACTGGGGAAAGCAGAAAAGCCCTTTCTGCCTTTTGCACCCCAGCCATTATCAGAGAGAATTCTATCATCTCCTTTTTATTTGCCTGACACACTCTGAATGTTTTCAAATCTGTCTGTGGCTACAAGTTAGTTTGTTTTTTCACATGCAGGAAGGGCTCTGCAATGAGCTGAACCGTACCCTCTAGGGTGATCCAGACAGAGTATGGATATCGTGGTTTCACAACCTTGGCAGATCATGTTCCCTCTTGTTCTCACTGCATCTCACTATCCCCTTTGCTTCTTGACTGTAGCTGTTATCAGAGCAGGGGTCTTGCTGAGCCTTCTCCAGCAATGCCCATGTCCCTTTCACCAAAACCAGTGTGTGTAAAGAACAGCTAAAGCTGCTTAAATGAGCTTACTCAGGCGGCTTGCACTGACTCAAGTGGATCAATTCTCATAATAGCCTAGCAAGTAAAACTTGTTATTCCAGTAGCAATCCACAACTCTATTCTCAAGTCTTGATCTAACCCATCCATGGTCATCTGGAGACATATCTGACAGACATGGGAGGTCTTGGGAGGGCAGGTCTTGGGAGTCCCTGAACACATGATGTAAAAACACAGTACCTGGAAATGCATCGTACAATAAAACACCATGGAAGTATAAACACATACGATGAAAACAGAGGAGGAAAAGAAAAAGCAGAAAGCAGCAACATAAGGGAAGATGGAAAAAATGCAAGGGAGGGTTTGGGTTTAGTTAGTTGGTTTTAAGA